AACTGTATCATCCCACCTTGCCGCTCATGGGTGCCATAAGTAGATAAGAAGTGGGTAATCCAATGATTCGCAGAGCGAACTGGTTAAGGATACTATCTGAATTTCACAAGTTTCCCCGTTTAAATTAATATTCTGTTCTGAAGTCATTTGTTCATTAATCCTATGAGTGGTTATCTATTTTGATGTACTAGCTTCCAAGTCTTGAAAATTTGCTTTTAAACTGAATAATTTGACCTTTATTGCATTTAGTCAAGTCTCTGAAATCTTAGGAACATTTTATCCATGGTAGTTTAAGAAATTATACACCTGAACATGAGTATCTGCTTCTGAACACAATATGAGAGACGGAAAAATACGTGTGAAACGCTTAGAGGTTAATTGATTAAAAAGGCGGCAATATTGACTTGAAACTCAAGTCGCTTAGCAATGGTTCGGTTGGGTGCAAACGAAGTTTCAGTCCATGTACCTATCATAGAAACTCTGACTTGGCCTGACATTTTACTCTATGTATGAAACATATTTTTCCCTTTAATTTCCGTCAATTTCTTAGAAGCGCCTTTTTTATTTTAAGGCGCTTCTAATAAATTGACGAATCTAGCGAAACCAAAATCAACCATCAAAGTTTATGCAAAGGGTTTAAAGAGTAGTGCAAGAAAAAGTATCCTGGGTTATTTATATTATAGTTTTATGGTTTTTAAATACATTTCTCAAGAATTACGAGCATGATTGTATGGACAGAATATCATTTAATACATCAAAATTAGGTATATTGTTACGAAAAATCGCGCAGTGGTTGTACGTGAATGTGATCGAACAAGCAGAATAACAAAAGAAAGTAATGACTATTTATTCCACGATATTTCTGTAAACAAAACGTAGCACAGGTAACGAAACAAATCAACACTTTTATAAATTAATAACACAAGCAGACAGAACGCCGCCCCATGTCCCCGTGCCTGATGCCATGACAGCGTCCGTACCGGTTGAGTGGACATGGGACAAATATATGCCAACAGCAAGCGGTGTTCCATGTGGTCACCCTCCTAAGTACTGACCGTGCTCGATGCTGCTTAACTGCGGTGATCAGACGAGAACCGGTGAATCAGCATGGTATGGCAGTTGGCAAACACAAGCAGCGAGAACAGAAATTTAGGGAAACTTCGAGAAATTTCTATGTGACGTCACATCCTGTCGGAAAAGGTGTAAAAATCAAACTACTCGAACGAGCTAATCAATCATCTTTGGAGCAGATGAATTGCGTGTCTATTGAAAGTGTTTTTACTGATATTTAACACAAGCAGACAGCAGATCATTAATAAATATCAGTAAAAGCACTTTCAGTAGCTCTCAGTGTCTATCAGTTCACCAGCTCCAAAGACGATTGATTAGCTCGATTGAGTAGTTTGATTTTTGTACCTTTCCGATAAGATGTGACGTCACATGTAAATTTCTCGAAACTTCCCTAAATTTCTGTTCCCAGTACAGATAGGAGCATAATTCTTGACTTTTCTGGAAACTTCGTTTGCCCACAAAATGATTTGCAAGTTTGTCGCGAAGGTCGGGGATTCAGAGATCACTAATAAATAACAGTAAAAGCACTTTTAATAGCTCTCAGTGTCTCTCAGTTCACCAGCTCCAAAGACGATTGATTAGCTCGTTTGAGTAGTTTTATTTTTATACCTTTTCCAACATGATATGACGTTATATAGAAATCTCTCGAAGATTCCTTAAATTTCTGTTCCCGTTAGAGAGAGGGCCAAGATTCTTGACTTTTCTGGAAACTTCGTTGCTCAATTTTGTCACGAAGGTCGTGGGTTCATTGGCTTGAAGTAAAACCTTTGTTAAACTCTCTTTCTTGTGCTAAGATTACCATGTCAAGGAAACAACTTTACATTTCTTGAAAATATGTATGTTTCTTTGCGTTTATTTATTTCTAAACTCTTACCATTTTTCTAATTAAATTAATAATTTTTCTAGGAAGTTTTATACCATAGTTATACATCATAATTTATAAAATGAAAACAAATTGCTCCTTATTTATTTATTTAGTGATAATTTAGTCATTAAAAATATTTCTGAGATATTTCTATTGATATTACATATAACAATATAAAATTGAATGTTTCAAAGTATATATTCATGTTTATTTAAATTTATTCAACAATCAGAATTTTGCAAGCTTCAATAAAATTTATAAAATCAAATAAAATTTGAATCTGATTTTCTTCATTCAGTAAATAATAAAAAACCTCTAACATATTTATTTCGAATTATTAATTTCAATTTCCAGTATCACTTCTCGGTTCCCAATCTTTTTCACCTCATAATCCTTAATTACTCCTTTAATTTTTGAGTAAACCCTACAGTAAACCCTCTCATACCATCCTTCACCACAAAAAAGGTTTTATTAATAACGCCAAGGACTTAGGTTAGTTTAAAAGTCAAATGAAACTAATGAGCAATAAAATGTTTAGGATTAATTTTTATCTTTATATTTTATTCCAAATTATAAAATAATATTTGTTCAACTTCAAAACAAAGAAAACAGCATTGATTTATCATGAAAGCTAGTAATTAATTTCGCAATTTCTAGAAATTAATCTACTTCTGTTTTCTCACTTCGCGTATAGGCTTTCGGACTCGTAAAATCGTCACTTTCATACAAGCTTGAGAAAATTCAATTCCAGAATGTTTTAATGTTTTCCTCCATTAAGAAGTCCACACTTTCGCGTACCCCTAACTGGTACCCCGCGTACACCTAACTGGTACACCGCGTACACCTAACTGGTACACCACGTACCCACAGGGGTACGCGTACTACAGTTTGAGAACCTATCACCTAATAGATCTAGGTATTACTGAAGAAAATATACAATTCAGATTTTTACAAATACACGTAATTTTTTTGTAAATCATTCCCAGGTTACAATAAAATTGATGATTTTTCTTTGGAAAATTACAAACAAAAATTGTACTATATCGTTATTTTATAAAATGTCAGAACAGGTGACCTATTTTCTATAGTCATCTCACAATGATAAAGAGACTATATTCCAAAGAACATCTGCGAAGGACATTTTTATGATAATTTATAACAACGATATGTCATGTTTGTGATATTTCTGTTTATATGATATCTTTCGGTTTCAAACATATATATACTTTTTGATGGAACCGAGCCAACTTTTGGTTGAAGCAAAACGGATAGTAGAAAATCTGATTTTATTCTGTTATAACAGTGATTTGTTGAGAAGTCTCCTTACCAGATCTAAAGTTTAAAACTTATTTTTGGTAGCACTCTTATTCCAAACCAAGGCAATCCTCAGATTTCTGAATATGAGCGTTTTATTTTTACAGGATTTTATTTTATTTTATTTGACTTGTTTCATGTTTCCAAAGATAGAATTTATCGTAGATTGTTCATTCACTTCTTCATTGTTTGAAATTTGTACCATTATATATTTCCGATGAAGACACAATTGAATTTCGAAGTCATACGAGTTGTGCTATTTGGTTTTGAATTTCAAAAAGTTAATCTTCAGATTTTATAATATATATATATATATAATTATAAGTTATAAAAAATAATAAATATTAAAAAATAATAAATATTAAAAAAATAATAAATATTAAAAAAATAATAAATAGAATTTTACACGATTTTATTTTATTTTACTTGTTTCACGTTCCCAAAGATAGAATTTTTCATAGATTGTTCATTCACTTCTTCATTGTTTGAAATTTGGACCATTATATATTTCCAATGACGACACAATTGAATTTCGAAGCCATACGAGTTTTGCTATTTGATTTTGAATTTCAAAAAGTTGATTTTATAATATATATAATTATAAGTTATAAAAAAGAAAAATAATAAACATTAAAAAATAATAAATAGAATTTTATTAGTGTGCTAATAAATTCAAGATAATTTTTTAAATCAAAAATAGGGACATATTAGGACAAATTTGTAAAAGCGTTAAGGCCTGAATATCGTACTATAAAGAAGTTAAAGCGCGATGGATATCATACAGAAGAAAATACGAAAAGAATCAAACAAAATCAAAATGTATTTTATATGTGATTAAAATTCGAATTTGGTTTCTACCGTCACATTTTTATTATTTTTATTTGACGATCTTATTTTTTATAAAAAAAATTATCTCCTACATTTTAGTTCGAAATAAAGGAGTGTTTTTAAATCTTTTACCATTTTGTTATTCTTACTATGGCGTTAACAATCCAATCAACAATTTTGATTTTTATTAACACAACCTCCATATAAAATATATGAACTGAAATTTCTCGAATCTTTTCTTATGCAGTATGAAAATAATTAAAGCGAGGTATTCAGTGCAATTCCCTAAACAAAGAAATCGAAGATTATTTTGTTCCTGTGGAAAACGTTTCAATCAATAACAGCTTACAATTCATATTGTTAAATCTCATGACAATCCCTTCCTAAAGCGCACACAACACTTAAATGCTTTTTGACAAGAAACAGCTTCCAGCAAAACAATATCTTTCCTTTTAGAGTCAAACGCTAAGTATAACTCTCTTGTTAATGAAAACAGTTAATAAATGACAGAAAATAATTACTTTTTTATGTCTTAGCACCAAATAAAAGCGTGTTTGTAATCTTTTTCTAGTGTTATTTTTCTTTCTAAGGCGTCAACAATCTAATGAAAGAGGTGAAGAATACATGACTTTGAACAATTATTTACATAACCTCCAGATAAAGTAGTTAAACTGAAATTCTGTTTATCCTTTCTTATAAGGCACTAAAACAATCAAAGCGATGCATTTAGTAGAATTTCCTAAACAAAGCGATCGACAAATATTTTATTTCTTGGGAAAAAAACTTTTCAATCAACAAAAGTTTACAATCCCTGTTGTCAAATATCATGACAATCTGTTTGTGAAATGCACACAACACTTAAATGCTTTTGACAAGAAACAGTTTCCAGCAGAACAATATCTTTCCTTTTAGAATCAAACGCTAGGTATAACTCTCTTTTTATTAAAAAGAGTTAATAAATGACAGAAAATAATTACTTTTTTATGTCTTAGCACCAAATAAAGGCGTGTTTGTAATCTTTGTCTAGTGTTATTTTCCTTTCTAAGGCGTCAACAATCTAATGAAAGAGGTGAAGAATGCATGACTTTGAACAATTATTTACATAACCACCAGATAATGTAGTTAAACTGAAATTCTGTTTATCCTTTCTTATAAGGTACTAAAACAATCAAAGCGATGCATTTAGTAGAATTCCCTAAACAAAGCGATCGACAAATATTTTATTTCTTGGAAAAAAAACTTTTCAATCAACAGAAGTTTACAATTCCTGTTGTCAAATATCATGGCAATCTGTTTGTGAAATGCACACAACACTTAAATGCTTTTGACAAGAAACAGTTTCCAGCAAAACAATATCTTTCCTTTTAGAGTCAAACGCTAAGTATAAATCCCTTTTTATTGAAAACAGTTAATAAATATGACAGCCGCTTTCATCGCATTTTAACGCTTTGTGACAGATACAAAAATCAACCTTATTTTATATCGAATCGAGATTGCATTAGCTTCTAGCAAA